GGGGTGCACCTGGGGGAGTGCACCGAGGGGGGTTGGCACCAAGAGGGAGGTTCACTCAGGGATGCACTGACGGGGGTGGCAGTGCAGGCAGAGGCAGCAGCGAGAGCCACAGTGGGAGAGGTGAGGCAGCCTGAGGAGCAGGAGGTGTGGGCCAGGGGCCAGGGTGCAGGGACAGGGAGCACCTTGCCCATGTCACGGTGCTCCAGGCCCTGGCCTGTGCTTGGCCTTGTGCTGAGAAGCCCTTTCTCAGCTCCCTCTCAGTGGTTTTCAAAGTGGGACTGGCTGAGGTGGGGCCGGATTAAAGAGGTCTGGCCCGGTGGTCCCAGGACCCTCCCCATGGTAACTGAACAGTCTTGGGCTGTCACACATGGCAGGGCCCAGTGCCTGGCACTGCACCGATGTGGAGTAGGGCTGGGCACAGCAAAGTGGAGATTGAGGTCTATTCCTGTGGCTGACCTGGGCCAAGCGTGTCCCCACATTCTGCAGGGACAAAGGGAATCACCTGCTTCAGCTCCCTAGCACTGACTGCACGCAGGCTCTGTGGTGGGGTATAGGGGCTCTGCCTTGTTCCCCAGCCAGACAACCAGAGCACCCCCATCATACCCGCTGTGACAGGTGCCAACCTTGGGAGTGAGGAGGAGAGATTTACCCTGACCCCAGGGATCCCTGTGTGCGTCCCATTCCCAGCCTGCTGGCCACTGGCCACCATAGACCTGCAGCAATTTTTAGCCATCTGTGGGCCTCAGCTTCTTCACCCTCACAACCAGGGCCTGGAAGAAGAAACGGTGACTTGCTCTTAGAAGACTTCCCAGACACTCCTTCCTTTCCATTGCCTTCCTGAGTTCTGAAGTGCCAGGGGCTGGCTCCCCCGCCCAACCTGGGGACTCCTAGGAAGGCCAGGCTTGGGGTAGGGACACACAGCAACAGCAGACTGGCACAAAGCAGTTACAAGTGTTTGCTGCATGACTGAAAAATCCCCTGGCACTTGAGTCCAGGCTGGCATCTTGCTGGGTCCAGGTGACCTGGGAAGCACCACTGGGAGCACAGGCGGCATCCCATCTTCTGGGTGTGAATGCAGGGCAGACCCGGGACATCCTTCCCTGAGTCCGCCCTCTCCGCACAGGTTGTAGGGCAGCAAAGGGTGGGCAGCAGGGCTGGACAGGGGCTCCTGGATCCCGCTGATGGCATACTCTTCCTCTGCGCAGAGTTCATCCCGAAGACACGGAGCACCGCGCGGCCTACAGCGCGGGCGCCCACGCGG